CACCTTGATAAAAACCACCAGGGGAGTAATAGTTTGCTTCAGCTCACAGTTTCAGGTTAGAGTTTATTATGATGGTGGTATCAGTGACAGGAACATCAAGGAGTCAGGCATGTCACATCTGCAGTCAAGAGCATAGAGAGACGGGTGTGGATGTGTTCTCTCTCTCTCTCTCTCTCTCTCTCTCTCTCTCTCTCTCTCTTCTCTCTCTCTCTCTATCTCTCTCTCTCTCTCTCTCTCTCTCTCTCTCTCTCTCTCTCTTTCTCTCTCTTCTTTAACTGACTCAGTTTCTTTACTGTTCTGCAGCTCAGGACCTAGGGAGTGCTGCTACCTGCAGTAGACAGGATTGCCCCCATGTAATTAACTTAATTAAGACAATTCCCCCACAGACATGACCACAGGGCAACCCAATGAAGACAACAATCCTGTACTGAGACTCAGATAATTCTGGGTATTAACTAATAAAGTAAATCAGAGCACCCTGCTTTTAGGCTCTTTATTTGGTAACCAATGATTTTTATAAACAAATGGCATACCCAGGATTCAACATTCCTGATCCTGAGTTTTGTTGTTTTAACAACAGAACTCAGATTTGTCTAAGTAGAAAAATAAGCATAGCCCCTATCCTGAAAGTGCCCCAAAACAAACCGTTATGGCAAGGTACACTTCCAAGGGCTTTAGGAACATTCTTTATATTACACAACCATTTCAGCATGTATTTAAAATCTTCAATATTTTAAAGCCTACAATAGTGTGCCTGAATCTGCAGGGGAGACATCCCTGGCATTAATTTATGCACACTAACTTGTACCGATGTGTTTTACTGAAAGCAATGATAGCTGAATATTTTTTAAGTCACCATCGTCACTTACCACACCAATTAATTGCTCAAATAAAAATACAATTCCAACACAGTAAAAACTAATACATTTTTCTTACCTTGTTTTGTATGAAAAGCATCAGGAGATAGCACACCAGAGACACGTGGGCAAATTTCACAGACAATTCAACTTTGGGTGCATGCTTAGTGTCTAATTGTGCAGCCCTTCACCCTTCAGGTTATTAGGATTGGGTTGAAGCATTTACATTTATATTTCTTATCTGGAAGAGATAATTAGATATTTTTCACTGTGAAATAATTTACATTAATGGGCCGTAACTCTCAATATGTGGTTTTAAATTGCACATTTAAATAATATAATACCTGTCTCCCTTAATTTGACTGTAATTGTCTCCATGCAGTCATTTTATTTTATTTTCAAAAACACAGTTAGCTAAAACAACACAGTAAATGTCTTCAGTTTATCACTTAGGAATTTTAGAAGAGGTGATGTTGTCAACTCATTTGGGATTTTTCAGGATCTCAGTCTGTAAAATGAAAGTGTTTCCCATGAAAACAGGGCTGACAAAAGCTCCAGTTGACACGAGGAACACATGCGCACACTGAGTATGTGGGGTACGCAGAATCCAAGACACACGGGCAGCATATGGACCATGTGAAACACATGCTGGGCCTTCGGCCTGGGAGGGGTTCTTGTTGTGATTTGTTTATAGTTTTTTCTATATATGAACCAAAATACTTTTCTGCTGTTCATTAAAAGAGAAAATTTACTTTCTGAATTTTATATGGCAGCTTGTTCTTAGCCTAGGCTGGTCTAGGATCCTTCTTTTGATGACAATTGGTTTTATTTCCTGGTAGATTATTTATTTCCTTAAGGATTTCACAGACTTTGGTATATGGGCTGAGTTAGGTCCATGTGATAGAAGGAAAGCCCTGAAAGAACACAGCTTAGAAGAAAAACTATCTCTGCAGACAGCATCTTAGATCAACTTTATTCTGATACATTATAACCAACAAGATTTTCACAATTGAAAATTTGGTTGCATGGAACCAGAGCTTCTGAAACATATATTGGCTACCCTCTGAGAAAAAGCTTGACTGATTCTTGATAATTATGAGGTGGGGATGTGGCTTGGTAATCAATGGAGCCGCTACCTAACAAGCACCAGGCTCTCAGTACCTTCCTCAATGAGGCAGAAGAAGAGGGAGGGGCAGTGAATAGCCCTGGACACAGCTAATATTGGTGAAATAAAGAATGTAATTTAACAATTAACTTTATAATTTTTATAATATGTTGTAAGAGGCTGTTAGTTCATTCCTTGCTGCTCAGCCTAAAAATAATCACAAAGAAACCATATTATTTACAATACTATTTAGCCAATCACTTAAGTGTATTGCTAGCTAGTTCTTATATCTTTGGTTAACCCATTTCTATTAATCTGTATCGCCATGTGGCTGTGGCTTACTGGCAAGGTTCCACGTAGCGTCTGTCTCTGGCTGGACTACATGACTTCTCCTTGACTCTGCCTTCTTGCTCGCAGATTTCAGTTTAGTTTTCCCTGCCTAGCTCTATTCTGTCCCATCATAGGCCAAAGAAGTTCTTTATTCATTAACTAATCAAAGCAACACATATCAGTAGGACTTCCCATACCAATAATACTTTCAAAATTTGTGAGAGATTCCAATTTCTTATGAATTGAATTGGCAACAAAATGTACATTATTCAAGGAAAGGTCATCAGGGCTTATGAAACAGTTATAACTTATAGTTATATATTTAAAGTTATAATTTATAGCTGGCAAACAAAAGTGACCTTCTCTGAGTATCTTGACTTCTCGGAAATTCAGTTTCTTATTAGGAAACATGTGGTGTTAGTGGTGGCATTGAAGACACATTAGACCATTGTGCATATAAAATATTTTGGAAAGAAAGTGTAAACATCTTTTAACACACAAATGCACTGATGATAATAATAAATGATCCCACTGAGGGGCTGAGGAGATGCTTAGCATGAGGGAGGATGCTCTCCACACATCCTCCCTTCTCCCAGAGCTGTGCCCTTGGTAGCTTATTAGCTATACCTCCTCACCACACAACATAAACATCCCCAAGCCAATATCTTCCTATTACTAATTAGTTGCATCTGGAATAAAGTATCTGCCAACAGAGAGTCGATTCATAGCTCTCTAAATTATGAGTTTTTTTTAATTAGACTGAAGTATGAAGTTTGAGCCGATGGTATATTATATTTTTGACGACACTAACGTGAAACAGTTAAATAGGAGACCACTTCTTTTTGTATTTTAAAAAGCCCACATAAGTATAGCTGGCAAACTGAACGGTATCACTGAGCTCCAAATGTTTTTCCCCTTGAAATTTATGTACTGAAATCTACTCACTAAGGTTTTGACCTTTGGGCAAATACTGTCTTCCTTAACAGGCTCCAGTTTACTTTTTCTTTCCACCATTTGATTTTGTAGTGGGATATCACATATGTTCAAGAGACCCCCCCCCCCACATACACTAAACACACTCTACTAACCTCTTGATCTTGGACGCCCAAGTATTGTTTTTTGCTCAATGATAATTTGTTATATAGCATACTGCACTGACCTGAATGGGGATTTCAGCTTGATTAATTTCTTTTTGAAAATAATTTATGTTTTAATTTTTTAAAATTGATTTTATTGAGCTATACATTTTTCTCTGCTCCCTTTTTTTCCTCTCCCCTCCCCTCTGACTCTCTCCCATGGTCCTCATGCTTCCAATTTACTCAGAGGAGTAAATTGTCTTTTTCTGCTTCCCATGTAGATAGATCCATGTATGTCTCTCTTAGGATCATCATTGTTGCCTGATATCGACATAAAAACAGGCAAGAGGACCAATCGAACCGAATCAAAAACCCAGATATTAATCCACACACCTACTAACACGTGTTCTTTGAAAGAAGCAAAAATTATAAAATGGAAAAAAAAGAATAATTAACAAATGGTGCTGGATATCAATATGTATAAGAATGAAAAATAGATCCATATCTATCATCATGCACAAAACTCAAGTCCAAATGGAACAAAGACCTCAACATAAAGCCAACCACACTGAGCCTCACAGAAGAGAATGTGGGAAGTACACTTGAACGCATTGGCACAGGAAACCACTTCCTAAATATAACCCCAGCAGCACAGACACTGAGAGCAAGCAACAATTAATAAATGGGGCCTCCTGAAATTGAAAAGCCTCTGTAAAGCAAAGGACACAGTCAACAAGACAAAATGGCAGCCTACAGAATGGGAAAAGATCTTCACCAACCCCACAGCAAAGGACTGATCTCTAAAATATACAAAGAACTCAAGAAATTAGTCATCAAAAGGACAAATAGTCCAATAAAAATGATTTATTATTATTATTAATCATTATTATTACTATTTTGTATCAATTTTGCCTCCGTCCTCTCCTCCCAGTCCCTTTCCCACCTTCCCTCTGCTCCTCCATCCACTCAGTTTGGTTGGTTTCTAAGCTCTCAAAAACATGTGTATTGAAAGTTCTTTTGCAATGTGAATAGAAAACCACCTCAAAGGGAATTTTTCTCCCCACCCCATCTCTCTCTCTCTCTCTCTCTCTCTCTCTCTCTCTCTCTCTCTCTCTCTCTCTGTGTGTGTGTGTTTGCATGTGTGTGTGTGTGTGTAGGTATTTGTCGCCTATCAACATTCTAGACTGAGCTAGAATACACTAAACGGGTTTATTCATGGAGGCGTTAGCTCCCTTGAAAGCATTCTTATCACCCCCTGAAGTCAGTGCAAAACACTCAAAGCATACACTTGAAACTCAAAACAAACATTTTATCATCCCCTCCCACCATTTAAAAAAAGAAAAGAAGAAAAGGAAATCTTTAAATTCATGTTTTCTCCACCAAATACTTTGATTTCCTAAAGGGCAACCAGCCAGAACCAGACAGGCATCAGCATCCCAGCATCCGGAACCCAGCTATGGAGGCTGGTTTCCAGCCGGACCCCGGGGTCTTAAGGCACCACAGTCTCGCTCCGCACCGGAATCAAGTCGCCCGTGCAGCCGAACCGCCGAATTCTAGGCCGTTGAGGGCTTTCCTTTCCGGTTGCCTTCTGTTCCTGCGCTGGTCCCTCTCCCTGCCCAGCCCTGTGTAGACATGAACCCCAGCGACCCCAGCTACTCCGTGGCTTCCCTCTATGTGGGGGACCTGCACCCCGATGTAACCGAGGCGATGCTGTATGAGAAATTCAGCCTTGCTGGGCCCATCCTTTCCATCCGGGTCTACAGGGACAGGACCACCCGCCGCTCGCTGGGCTATGCCTCCATCAACTTCCAGCAGCTGGAGGACGCTGAGCGGGCCCTGGACACCATGAACTTCGATGTGATAAAGGGCAAGCCAGTCCGCATCATGTGGTCTCAGCGGGACCCGTCGCTGCGCAGAAGTGGCGTAGGCAACATATTCGTCAAAAACCTGGACAGATCCATCGACAGCAAAACGCTGTATGATACGTTTTCTGCCTTCGGTAACATCCTTTCGTGTAAGGTGGTGTGCGACGAGAACGGCTCCAAGGGTTATGGATTTGTGCACTTCGAGTCTCAGGAAGAAGCCGAACGAGCAATTGAGAAGATGAACGGGATGTTTCTAAACGATCGCAAAGTGTTTGTCGGTCGCTTTAAGTCTCGTAGAGACAGGCAGGCTGAACTTGGAGCCAGGGCTAAAGAGTTTACCAATGTTTACATCAAGAATTTGGGAGAAGACATGGATGATGAGAGACTCCAGGGTCTCTTTGGCAGATTTGGGCCTGCCTTAAGTGTTAAAGTCATGACCGACGAAAGTGGAAAATCCAAAGGATTCGGATTCGTAAGCTTTGAAAGACATGAAGATGCCCGGAAGGCTGTGGATGAGATGAACGGAAAAGACCTCAATGGAAAACAGATTTATGTTGGTCGAGCTCAGAAAAAAGTGGAACGGCAAACTGAACTGAAGCACAAATTCGGGCAGATGAGGCAAGAGAAGCACAAAATCGAACAGGTACCCCAAGACAGAAGCATCAGGGCCCAAGGTGTTAACCTTTATGTGAAAAACCTCGACGATGGTATTGATGACGAGCGACTCCGGAAGGAGTTTTCTCCATTCGGTACTATCACTAGCGCGAAGGTTACCATGGAGGGGGGTCGCAGCAAAGGGTTTGGGTTTGTATGTTTCTCCTCTCCGGAAGAAGCCACTAACGCAGTTACAGAAATGAATGGTAGAATTGTGGCCACCAAACCACTCTATGTAGCTTTAGCTCAACGCAAAGAGGAGCGCCAGGCTCACCTCAGTAGCCAGTATATGCAAAGAATGGCAGGGACCAGTGCTGTGTCCAGCCCAGTCATCAGTCCTTTCCAGCCAGCGCAGGCTTCTTTAGGCTACTTCATGACAGCTACACCACAGACTCAGAAACATGGAGCCCACTGTGCTCCTAACCAATCTACTAAGCAGGGACCAGGTCCCTGTGGGAGTGCTCAGGGTGCCAGAGCTCATCCGTTCCAAAGTGTGTCTAGTGTCATCCACCCATCTACTATCCAGTCATTTGGTACTTCAGGACCAACCTCCTCCCAGGCTCTATGGAGCATGTCAACACACCGTGCTGCCAACACATCCACACAGTTGATGGGACCACATCCTGCCGCTGCTTCTGCTGCAGCTGCTCCTGCTGCCCGCCCAGTTGCTCAGTATAAATATACTGCTGGAGTCCGGAATCCCCCTCAGCATCTTAGTACACAGCCGCAAGTCAACATGCAGCGGTCTGCTGTTCCTGTCCAAGGTAAGGCATCGCTGACTGCCTCCATGCTGGCGTCTGCCTCTCCTCAAGCACAGAAACAAATGTTAGGGGAATGGCTGTTTTCTCTTATTCAAGCCATGCACCCTGCTCTGGCCGGTAAAATCACTGGTATGCTGCTGGAGATCGATAATTTAGAACTGCGCCACATGCTTGAGTCTCCAGAGTGTCTCCACACCAAAGTTGATGAAGCCATTGCTGTTCTGCAAGCCCACCAAGCTAAAGAAACTTCCCAGCAAGCAGTCAGCAGTGTCTCTGGTGTTCCAACTGCTTAAAGTTGAGCAGAAGGAAGAATAAAACTCCTGCTTCACTGAAGAAAATTATCTAGACATCCAAGAACTATGGGGTAAAAAAAGAAGTAAAATAAAAACTAAACATAAAGGAAATTAGTATCTTCTGTGCCAAGTCAGTGCCGGGTCTGGTGAGCAAAGCAGCCCCAAGATCATTTGGTTTAAGACAACAGATAACAGAAACAGTGAAATTTAAAAGCAAATTAACGTTTTATAGATTTTGGAGAAGTGATTTTTTTTTTGCAAAGTGACAAAATTCAAAACGTCTCTTGAGTTGTAATTTGAATAGCTCCAGATGTCAGTTCTAAGATAGAATTGATAACTGAGCAAGGCAACATGATTGGGTCCTAACGTTCTTGCTTTACTTGAGGCTTCACTGTTGGCCCATAACACCTCTGAGATGCCCAGCAGGCCTGTGGCCAACTGTATTTCTGTTCACTTGTTCCTATATACAGAACACATGCTGTCTGTAATTCATGATCCCATCTATTAATGGTACCAAACACCACATTCAATTTAGAAACTTGTGTCTCTGGCATGAACTACAGACAATGATTTGTCATTTTACAGCCGTAAAAGTCACATTCGTCATCTGGACTTTCCTATCGTCGAATGGACTAACATATACATAAGCACCTTCTACAGACCTGACTAACATTCAGATTGCATTTATTGTATACTGGCATCTCACTGCTGCTCTGGGGATTTGGAAAACTCGAGTCTTGGTTTCTTGGAGCTGTGCTCTGGTGAACTAGATGAGAAGGTTTAAACACAAAAGTATCAGGTCATTAAAAACTATGCAGTACAAAAACAGAGGAAAAAGAGGGAAGAAGGGAGACAGGAGATATGGAGATAGAAGGGACCGTTTGGAGGGGATAGGGTTAATGTGATTTTTTTTCAGGCCCAAGAAAACCCCAACAGGAGATTTCAGGATGAGCGACTTGCCCTTTGAAGCAGATGTGAGCTAGCTAGTGCTTTCTGGGAAGGGAAGTGCTAGGGTGAGTGGCTTCCTCCACACCAGGAAGGGGATGGTTTCCTCTACACCAGGAAGGGGGATGGCTTCCTCCACACCAGGAAGGGGGATGGCTTCCTCCACACCAGGAAGGGGGATGTCTTCCTCTACACCCAGAAGGGGGATGGCTTCCTCTACACCCAGAAGGGGGATGGCTTCCTCTACACCCAGAAGGGGGATGGCTTCCTCCACACCAGGAAGGGAATGGTTTCTTCTACACCAGGAAAGGTGAGTGGCTTCCTCCACACCCAGAAGGGGGATGGCTTCCTCCACACCAGGAAAGGGATGGCTTCCTCCACACCAGGAAGGGCATGGTTTCTTCTACACCAGGAAGGGGGGTGGCTTTCTCCACACTGGGAAGAGGGATGGCTTCCTCCACACAAGAAGAGAGGATTTAAGAAGAAAAGCAATACAGCAAAGAGTTTGGTTTTCACGACTACCAGTCTATACAATAAAGATGTTTTTCACAAATACTAATGTATTTTTTAAAATTTAAGTTATTTTTATAATCAAATTATTTTTGTGTCCCCAAACAGTAATTCTGTATCACCCAAAAAAACTCTAATGTCTTTCTCCATATCTTTTCCTTACAATGGATTGTAGCATAAGTCAACTCTAATAACAAAGATTTATACAAAACCTAATAGCAAACATCTATGTAAATGATTTCAAAATAATCAGCTTTTTGGTAATATACAATTAAAATACATTGCTCTCACTTTGGGGTGTTAATAGCCATTGGTTAACACAATTACCATTAAATTTAAGCCTAATAACTTGTACAGTATCGAGATTATCAGGATTGTAAGAGAACATGGAAGCACTGAGATAGACAGGTGCATTAAACATCGAGTTCACACAAAGAAAAATGAAAAGATGCTTGATTTCATGAGGATGTGGAAATGGCCTCATACCTCATGCTTGTAGGAACTAAGTTCCCAGTGATAGCAGGCGTCACTGAGTATTATCCAAGGAACTCTCCTGCATATCCAAGTCACCCCATTGGTAGGAATCTGGGTATGAGCCTAGGGAGACATGAACCTGGATGCTCTTAACTGGCACAAAAATTTGCAAACAATCTTTCATTCCCAGGATGACACATGAAAAAGAGCAAAGCAGTGTCCATGCTATGGAGCATGGCACTGGAGTCAGTGCTGGAGCCGTCCTGTCTGTTTCACAAGGACTCCCACGAGCAGAGATGCAGTTAGCCACAGTTATAGGAAAATACCTGGGGAGTGATGCAAACTAGGGGGAACTTTGATAAACAGAAGTGCGCAGTGCATAAAACACACACACACACACACACACACACACACACACACACACACACATCAAGCGGAGAGGCAGCTGCAGCCCTTCCATGCTGGCACAGGAAAGAGACATTCCTACCTGAGTATCACCCTCTGCTCATCTGAGCTCTGTCCACGTCCCCTTGGCTGCACGTTCACAGAGGTCTCCGTGCCTGCTTATCTCCACTGATAGTGAAAAGGGTTCCATTAATTTTCATTTCAAAAGTGTCTTGGCTGTGAAAAACATAGCCAAGGCATTCAAAATAATGGCAACTTTGGAAGAGATTCATAATAACCTCCATTACATAGTAAGTTTCCGAAGTTAAAGTGCTTCCTATGTCATGTGCTTTCATTAGCTATGATTCCTGCAGGCTTAGGATGGCCCTGTGGATAAGTCATTTCACAAAGAACATAGCATCTGTATCTATGTAGTTATTTTTTTCATTTTCTAAAATTGTGAAATTTTTATTTTCTCCAAAAGTTAGAGGGTAAAAAAAGCTGTTTGGTATTCCTTTAATGCTCATTACAGAAAATCTAACTCTTGCCAAGAATAAAGTTCCAGAGTCAGCGAATTGATTCAGTCTGTATAAGATGAGTCCTCCTCCTCTTCAGAATAGGCTTTCCTCACCCTCTAATGCCCACTTAAGTACGTTTTGTGGCTGCTACAATTAATTGCTTTTCTTTGTAACTTCAGGGTTTTGACCTTAAAAAAGTTTTCTTCTTTTAATTTCTTTTTGATTGAAGACCAATACTCAAATTCATTAAAATATTTCATCCATAAACTAAAATTTTTACTTTTCAAGTAAAAATATCAGTCCTTCTTGTTGGCTTTATTCCATTGTTTCACATCCAAATATAGTAGAAATCTAAGCCATTGCAGAGTTTGGGGTGGAGCCATTCAAGTCCCCTCGCCCTGTGTCTCCTTCATTGTCATGTTCTATTAGATGCAAATGTTTATGGTAAGATTGACTTGATGTGTCAAAGCCTTGCCTTATAAGCCCGGTAGCCTGAATTCCCCTGCACACATGGAAAAGTGGAAGGAGACATCCAGCTCAGATGAGTTGTCATCAAACTTTGGAAATAGATATCACACATGAAAACACACACATACGCATGCACACACACACACATGTACACAACCACGCATGCTCACACACACATACACAACCATGCGTGCTCACGCACACACAGAGACATACATACACATGTAAATTTTCTCCTTGAGACAGGGATTTTCTCTAGCTTTGGAACCTGTCCTGGAACTTGCTCTTGTAGACCAGGATAGTCTCAAACTCACAGAGATCTTCCTGCCTCTGTCTTCAGAGTGCTGGGATTAAAGGCATGAGTCACCACTGCCCGACCTCCTCATGTAAAATTTAAAGACTTCCCAATGCTAGGTTCTGTGCTTCTCAAACCTTGCAAACTCACTCTCTATACAGATGCAGCTGCAGCTTTTGGGGTAGCAATCGTACAAGACTGCCAAGTTTATGAAGGACATGTAACTAAATTCTGGACCAATGAGATGATCCAGCTCTTGTCACCAATGTTGGAAGGAGGCCGCTAATTAGTTCCCTGCTGCTCAGCCCCAAAATAATCACTCAGAAATCATATTATTTAAATCACTGCTTGGCCCATTAGCTCTAGCTTCTTATTTGCTAACTCTTATATCTTAATTTAACCCATTTCTATTCTTAATCCATGTATCGCCACATGGCAGTGGCTTACTGGGTGAAGTTCCAGCATCTGTCTCCAAGTGAGGCTACATAGTTTCTCTCTCACTCTGCCTCCTTTCTCCCAGCAATAAGTTTAGTTTTATCCACCTAGTTCTGTTCCCCTATAGCTCTGCTATATGCCCAAAGCAGTTCCTTTATTAACCAATAATAATTACAGCATACAGAGGGAAATCCCACATCACTTCCCCTTTGCTGTTTAAATAAAAAGGAAAGTTTTAACTTTAATATAGTCAAATTACATATAAAAATAGGTATCAAAGCCGGGCGGTGGTGGCGCACGCCTTTAATCCCAGCACTTGGGAGGCAGAGGCAGGCGGATCTCTGTGAGTTCGAGACCAGCCTGGTCTACAAGAGCTAGTTCCAGGACAGGCTCCAAAACCACAGAGAAACCCTGTCTCGAAAAACCAAAAAAAAAAAAAAAAAAAAAAGTAGGAACAAGCAAGAATTACAGTTACAATATTTATATCTACATTATCTTTTATCATAACTAAGGAAAACTATAACTATAAATTCTTTAACTATATCAAAGACTCCAGAAGGATATGATATTACCTAAATAAACAGGAAGTGCATTATAAACAACTTCCAAAACTCTAGACTCTAGAATTGACAGAGATATATTTCTGCATGGACAGTCACCCAAAGTTCTTCTGTACCATTGTAGCATCCATCTTAAGCCTACAGGCCCATAGTATCCAGCAGACTTATCCACAAAGCAGGAAATTTCAAAGACAGACCCATCTATAGTTTGTCAGTCACTTTCTTCTGTATCCTGCAGAATATCTAGCAGTCTTTCATGAAGCTGGAACTCCAAAGGATTGTGTCACCTTTACGCAAGTTTAGCAGTCATTTCTCTCTGGATCCCGCATGTCCAGTTCATCAAACAGTCTATGAAAGAGCAGTTTCTTGCCAAAATGGCAAACTCTATAAGGAGCCTCTTTGATGCTCATC